CCCCCCCGACGGACGTTTATATACGATGTGTGACAAAAAGAATTCCCAAATCAGAATTAAACTAATCTAGTATACTAGGGTCACCGTGTATAAGAGCGGTAGAAATTTTTCAGCGCTCTTTGATAATAATCCATAAATCTTTTGATTGCTTTGCCTCGCGTCCAGGGATAGTTCCAGAGTTTTAGTCAACTAGTGTAATCAACGATAACTTCATGCCATACGCTAGGGAAAAATGAATGATTCCGTTCTTTTTTCACTAGCAAATTACTAGCGTTCAATATAGTAATTACGTAATCCCTGGATTACTGGTTACTTATATTCGTGATCTCTTCCACAAGTGTTTTCTGCATTTACGTTTCGTAGATAAGCCAGTCTGAGTTGTCCTACTTATTGTTGATATAGTGATTACAACGGCGATATAGACAATACAGAGTCCCTATCGGTAAATTTATTTCCTTTTAGTCATTTCTCGGTTAACTTTGGTGGGGTCACCGCCAAAAAAAAAACATCGTCAAACTAAAACTCTAAAATGTCTAATAAAAGTAAAGTGTTTAACGTGGTATCAAGCGTGTCATTAATTTGATTTTTTGAATTTTCTAAAATTTGTGCAATCAAATAATCCATTTACGAATAAAATGTGTTTTAGAGTGGTCATCTTCCTGTGAGGTAAAAACATAAACGAATTAGCCGGACTTCATATTTTGCTCATGGATCGTCTATGCATATTAGATTGTACAATAATCCGAAGTTTATTGTTCTAATACTTATGTATCTTACTTGTCATCTCGTGGATATAAATTGTTCACAACACGTATAACGTGCATTCCCGTATTATATTACTAGCAGTATGAATACTTGGCATGTAAACGCATAGCAATGCCACGCGTAATCCAGAGCATTGTTTTCTTCATAAACCATCAAGGTTGCATCATTATACAGACTCAAAGTACTATTGGTCAAAAGGATAGTAGAAAAAAACTGAGATTGTTAAATGCGAGAGTTAAGGCGCATATTTGTCAATGCGTTAACATACAATGTGATACACGAAAAAATTCCAGTATGGCATAACTTGAGTAATAACAGTTGTAATTGTTCAAAGATTAGGGCGATTGCGTTGGACCATGTCAAAACAAAGTCAAAATTGTAAGGAACCCTATTGTAATTGGACGATGACCTTCGTTATTTTTCAACCTGAGATACACTCAAACCCGTAACTTCCTGTTAATCACTCTATCTACAAATGTATACATATCTACATATTTCAATATATTGAAAGAGCCAAGGAGAATATTCACATTCATTGGCGACACATATCTGCATACGTGATACTTTTGTATTGTTAATTATTCATACAAGCTTCACTCACAACTTCTTTATGCTGCAGTGCATGTTCATTATCGGAAAAAAGTTTTTTCAAACCATAATCCTTTTTGGAGCAGTCAAATTTATTCACTGTCATGTATTAATATCTTATATTTCATGTTGCTTTATTGTAATTGTGATAGAAAATATTCCACTTCGCGTTAGTGAAATTATGTGAAACTCAAATCTTACGGCAACTTTATGCTCTAATTGCCATGAAGATTGCCTCCTCTTGTAGTTATCAAAATTTTAGATACAGAGTTCATATAGTTCATCTTCTGCGTTATTAATTTATCCGCAATACTAACTTGATTATTAGTGTACTACCACTAGTTTTTAGCAATGAATAAAATATAAACTGACAAAAATACCAAAAGAAAGATTTATTTAATAATAAAATAGTACGGATTTAAAAATGTTCTCGCACAATTTGTACATAAGTCAAAACGTTGACATAATTATACTGGGTGGTTCACTAAAAACTGAAACTGAAATGTTTTCTAATTTACAAAATATTGCTTTTTAAATATGCGAATGTATTCTTCATTTTCAGAGAAAGCAGAGAATTTTTGCGTAAAAACAAGCGTGCATTATTCAAAGAAAGATCCCTAGTAGAAATTACATATGGGCCGTAACCGGTACAAGCTAATTTCCCCTACTTTTATCCAGGCACTAACTAAGAAAACTACCTAACGCCTAACTAGAAGCGTAATGTGTAGATTTAGCCTTTGAGGCTATTCGAATTACATCTTGAACATTTTTTCGGATGTCCACAACCAAGGAAGATATGTAGGTATTTAGATTCTAGTGAACCACCCAAAATATAATGACTATATTGACTATGTTATTCTAATATTGTGAAAGAACATTATGAAATCGGAAATTCGTATTATTATTATCACTAAATAAATCTCTTTTTTTAATAGCTTCACCAATTTATATTCTATTTATTGCTGATAATGTGATAATCAATAGTAATATGCTAATAATCTAGTTAGCATTTCGGATCAATTTATAGCATAGAAGATTTTACATGATTTTTATACACAAAATTTAATCGGGATTAATACACTAATCTTCTTAAACAAAAAACATAATTTTATTAAAACATCAATTTTTCTTAATTTTGAAAAAAAAAATAACCTTAGAAAAAATGCTTTTTTTCATCGTACTTACTGGTACTAATATAAATTTATTATTCCCAACTAATAATTCCAAGATTCAGGAGTTTTATGAGTTATTAAGTAATTGTTTTCATTAAATGACAAAGGGAAAATTCTTTTATGTTCGTATACAGAAATGCCAAAGCCCGGCCACCCATTTCCGGTAAAGGACCTTCAAGCTGTATTGCAAAGGACGCTCAGCCAACAACTCAATATATTGCATATAGAATGGAAAATGTTGACAGAACCTGGAGAGAATTTCGGAAGTCTAATTATAGCAGTAGATGTGAATATGACCAGAGATAGTAACCCAGAAATATTAAATATCGTAGTGAAGTTGCCACCTCCGACAGTCTTTCTTCGAGATCTCTTTAATAGTCCTCTAACATTCAAGAAGGAATTGCATTTTTATGAAAACATTGTGCCAGCCTTCATTGAGCTCCAAGTAGAAAATGATATTGAACGTGATCAATTGATCAATCTCGCACCACGTTATTACGGTGGTAGATTAGGTCTAGGTCAACCTGATATTTTTGATGAGCAATCTTGTCTAGTACTGGAAAACCTCAATTACCAGGGTTTCAGTACCGGAAACAGGATACAGGGACTTGATAAAGAGCACATGGACTATGCTACCAAGAGGCTTGCACAGCTTCATGCCTTGATGATTGGCCTGAAGATAAAGAAACCAGCAACATTTAAGAAAGTGATTTCACCAGCCCTATTGAGTCCTATAAACGAGACTACGATGGATGGTGTTACCGCGATGGTCGACAGTGCGCTTGCAGTGATTAGAAGCATGCCGGAAGCTGAGGGTTATTTTCCACAAGTAGAAAAGGTTATGAAATATTCTGAAGAAATGCATAATTCTTTCGTTAAGGGTGAGGAACCATGGTCTACCATGGTTCATCATGATTTCTGGGTAAATAATATGTTATTCAAAAAGGATCCTGATGGAAAGATCATTGATTTAAAGATAATTGATTTTCAATTATACTGGTATGATGTAGGAATAACGGATCTTGTGTTCTTTATGTTATCAAGCGCCAAGAAAGATGTTCTAGACGAAAGTCTTGATGATTTTATTGATCTCTATTACCAATCGTTCTTAGATTGCCTTGAATTACTTAAAGTGAACACTAAGGACTTTTCCAGAAAGTCGTTTGATGAACTTTTACAAAAATATGCTCCGACTAAATTTCCTCAATGTATAATGATGACTCAAGTGATAAAAGCGGATCGTAGTTCAACAAAGGAAATGGATGAGATCGGAAACCAAGAGACATTTTTGTCAAATTCTTCCAGCAAATTAATACGCAATACATTGTTGCATATTTTGAAAATTTTTGAGAAAAAAGGTTGGTTTCCTCAATAGTATGTTTATAAAAAAAAATAAAATTGCAGAAACTATCGAGTTTTTCTTGATAGCTTCAAAATAGATAATCTTTTCTTGATAGTTCACCGTATTGAACTAATAAACATATAGACTGTCCTTAAGTCAAATATAAGTCAAATATAAGATGGTCCCTGTAGACCAGATTTTACTTGTGGCTGATTTATATGTTTAGCGAAAAGGGGATTATAAAACATTTAAAATACAAATTTTGTGTATAACTTACAAGAAATAAAAAAATGATACATTTGTTAAATGTGTGTAGAATTTTTCGTATTGTGGGGACTGGAGAATGTCAAAAGCTTTCTTGGATGCATTAAATGGATGCATTGTATTTATCGAAACGAAGTGCACGCATATTTGTCAGTTTTACAAATAGTGATATGGCCCTTTTATAAGGAATAGTTGCAACATAACAATACGAAATACATGCAAAATTCTTATACAAGCATCGTACACTTCAAAGAACTGCATGCAACTTGCACTTCCTTTTTTCAGTTTCGACGTATGAAAGTGCTATGTAAGTAACAGCGCAGCTTACCAAAATATGCGTGCACTGCATTTGCATCTGAATTTAGTATTACATTCTTATAAATTACAATATTCCGATCTCCCTTTTCATATACATACTTCCCAGTCCCTTTAAGAATTATAAATATATCATTATATTATGTGGTCAGCATAGTCGGTCCACAAGTAAAATATCTTGAAGTGTCAGATGGGAACAAGTGTTTCGGGCTAGGAATTCTCGTTGCAAAATTTCCCAATTGTCAATACTCTTTTGCTAAGGGTAATGACGAATGGTTTCGATTGGTTTCCACTGATTTATCACACACTACTTTTGGCAAAGAAACTGATGGTTTTGGATCGTGGGAAGCGGAGGCGAACAATGAACAAATACACCTTTGTTCGATATAAGATAGCACTAATTTATTTCGATATAAGAAAGAGAGAGAGTGGCAACCCGTGTACTCGGCGGTCCACGAAGGAATGGGGAGAGCGATGAGCCTTCGAAGTCGCTATCACTTCCCTATCACTACGTTATTCACAATCATAACTAGAACAGGTACTGCTCTAATCATCGATATGTAAATAGGCGTCTAATTGAAAACAGTTAATGGTGAGATTGACTCTATACAAAACTAAATAACAACACGCCCTCTCAATCGAACAATTAACATTACTTGATTCCAACTAATTTATAAAATTAAACTAAACACATTAAATAAAAGGTCTTTCTTATTTTACAATCTTCTTGTTCAGACCCACAGCTTTGGTAAAATCTTCCAGTTTCTTGGCATTCACAGGTTTGGTCAATGCATCAGCCACCATGCATGTAGATGAGACGAAGTCCACTTTGATTTCCCCATCGATTATCTTTCCTTTAATGAAGTGGTGTCGCACATTTATGTGCTTTGTCCTTGGACTGAATTTCGAATTCTTGGACAAGTCTATCGCCCCTTTATTGTCGCAATAGATCTGCAGTGCTGACTCTTCCTTGATCAGAAGTTCCATACTTAACCTCCTAAGCCAAATTGCTTCCTGGGCAGCAGCCGATAATGACAGGTATTCTGCCTCCGTACTCGACAATGCGATAGTTGCCTGCCTTTTACTGTTCCAGCTGATGGCTCCGCCCTGGCACATAAATACATATCCAGTCGTTGACCTAGGATCTTCAGAATTGGATGCCCAGCTGGCATCGCAGTAGCCAACTAGTTCGTCATCACTATCTGCAGTATACTCCAGTCTCTAGTCCACGGTTCCTTGAATATATCTGAGTATTTTTTTGATCATGCCCCAATGTGAAAGGTCAAACGATTGGTTGAACCTAGAGACTGTGCTCACCGCATAGGCCAAATCTGGTCTCGTAGCCTGTGCCAGGTAGAGCAAGGATCCCACAGCATTTTGATAAGGTACTTCACACGAATCCAGTGATTCCACATCGTCTGGACTGTTTAACTTGTTATCCTGGTTCGTGTTCATCGGTATGGTTCTAGGTCTACACTCGTGCATGTTGAATGTTCTTAAAATTGACTGAACGTAGTCTCTCTGATCCAGTGCGATGAGACCATGCTCCTTATCCACTGTCACATTTATACCCAAGCATCTGCGAATGGGTCCAAGGTCCTTAAGAGTGCATAACTTAGCAATGCCATCCTTGAATATTTTATAAAAGTCTATACTATTGGTGAATACAATCAAGTCATCGACAAAGACTGCTGCTATGACGCACTTGTTCACCGTATAATAGCTGTAAATACATGCATCATATTCTGATTGTCTCATATTCATGTCCTTGAGGGCCTTATCTAGTTTGGCGTTCCAGTTTCTGCTGCCCTGTTTCAAGCCATAGATAGCTTTTTTAAGCAAACATACCTTGCTCTCTTCTCCTTTGGCGATGAATCCCTTCGGCTATTGCAAGTATACCTCTGTATCCATGTCTCCATGCAAAAATGCGGTCTCGACATCGAGGTGAAAAATGTCCAGTCTCTTCCTTGCTGCGTATGCAAACAGCAATCTAAGTGAAGTGAATCGCACTACAGGTGAGTACGTCTCGTCGTAGTTTATTCCTCGAACCTGTGAGTATCCCAGAGCTACCAGTCTAGCCTTATAACGAGTTGACTTATCTGGCATCATTTTTTTCTTGAAGATCCATTTGCACCCTATTACTGGTTGTTCAGACGGTAAATTACAAAGTGTCCAGGTCCTGTTTTTGGATATGGATTACATCTCCTCCAGCATGACTCGCTTCCACTGCACTGATTCAGCACCAGAGATAGCTTCCTCGTAGTTGTGAGGTTCACCTGGTTCAGAAATAGCAGAATAAGTGACAAACTCATCCAGGTACCTGGGATTTATTTTGTTGCGTTGTGGTCCTCGTGTGGGAACAGTTGATAGGTCTTCGTCAGAGCTGTCTTCCTGGTTGGCGTTACCCAGCTTGGCTGCTGATCTGGTCATAGGACGATTTGACACATTTGCTTGGCGCTTCTTGTTTTTCTTGATCTCGGGCTGATCATCATGGTGTACAGATGAGGTTCTCTTGAGTGCCTTCTTAGCAGGTGAGGTTTTCTTATCCAGGTCTTCAGCTTCGTTTCCAGGTGCTTTTATTACAGGTAAGTTTTCTTCTCCCAGGTCCTCAGTTGCGACACATTGCATGAAGTGAACACCTTTTTGTCCCGATTGCTCCACAGCCTGTATGCTTTTTGAGTCTCACTATAGCCTAGCATAATGGCTGGTTGAGATGTGGGCTCAATCTTCTGTCTCTGGAGTCCTGGAACGAACGCTCTTGCTCGACAGCTAAATGCTCTCAGATGAGATAAATCTGGTGGTGATCCATTCCACAGTTCCTCTGGAGTACGTCCATCCAGGCATCTTCTAGGACTACGGTTGGTTATGTAACATGCTGTGGAGATCGCTTCAGCCCAGAACCTCTTTGGAAGCCCTGATTCGGCTAACATGCACCTGGTTTTCTCCAGTAAGGTTCTGTTTACTCTTTCAGCGCGTCCATTCTGTTGTGGCACATAGGGAACAGACGTCTCATGTTTTATACCCAATTGTTCCAATGTGCTCTTGAGGTCAGAGTTGACGTACTCCCTACCGTTGTCAGATCTGATAGTTTTTATGTTCTTCTCAGTCTGGTTGCTAACTGATTTGATGAATTTCCTTACTGTGTCGGGCACCTCATCCTTCCTTTTTAACATGTACACAAATATCTTGCGTGAATAGTCGTCCAGGAAGGTAATAAAGTAGCGAGCCTGACCAAGTGATGGGACCTCGACTTGGCAGACGTCTGTGTGTACCAGTTCGATCAGTTTACTTGCCCGCTTGTTGTTTGCAGAGAAGGTTTTGTTCACCAATTTCCCAGCAACGCAGATTTCGCACTTGACGGGTCGATCCTCGACCAGGTGTATCCCTGTGGCTACCTTGCAAAGCTGTTTCAAGTATGTGAGGTTAAAGTGAGCCATCCTTCTGTGCCAAAGTTGAGTGCTTGCAGCTTAAGTGTTCTTGAGGGCTGCATATGCCGGGAAAGTTTTATGGTCCTGTGCCTTGGGTTTGAGATCCAATTTAAAAGTGTTATTTGGGCAAAGATTACCCTCTATGATCGCAGTACCACGATTGTTTAAAATCTTACACTTATTATTTACAAAAGTCACTTGATAACCCTGTTTAGTTATGGCACTGACTGATACTAGATTGCATGTGAGTCCGGGTATATGCAACACGTTTTTTAAAATCATTTCCATAGTTTTGTCCGGTCCGGTGTATAAAACTATCAAGTCGCCCTCTGCTTCGACGGGCACTTTTGCTTTATTCGCAGCTATGACATTTCGCGTTCTCGGTTTGCGTGCGTTTGTTAAGAACGCCTTTTCACGGCACATGTGTACTGATGCGCCTGAGTCCAGTATCCAGTCCTTTACTCCAACTTTGCTCTCACAATCCACGGCCAACAACCCTTGCGAATAACTCAGTGCACTAAGTTCGGTCTCAATTGGATCGGATTTTGCAACGGCTGTGTGAGTATCGTGCTGATAAAGCACTGAAAAGAGCACACACACAGTGTGTTCCTCTTCACTGTCGACCTCCTCAGTTACGGCGCAAGCTTTGTTGTTGTTGTTGGTATTGTTATTGTTGCGAGTCGGAGCGGTGCAATTTCTGGAGAGGTGGCCGTATTTATTACAATTGTAGCATCTCACATTGTTGGAGCTTCTTTGCATGTTCTGATTGGGTGCCTGGCGCCACCTATTGTTGGCGTTGGCACGTTTGTATCTGGATTGCTGAGACTGCGCGAACAGGCCTCGCGACTCGAGATCGCTTCCGTTGGCACCATTTTGGTTTTCCTCTAGGAGCTTATTTTTCACGAAATCAGCGGTTACGTTCGCTCCAGAGTTCGAAAGCGCCATTATCATGGGCTTATATGAAGCAGGCAATCCGGCAAGCAAAATTGCTCCGACTAAATCATCGGGCAGTTTAGTGCCTATGGTACTTAGCTTTTGTGCGGCTGAAATGATACAGGACACGTACTCCTCCATGGACTTGCAATTCTCAAACTTGGTCGTCGTTGCTTCTTGTAGTAGAGCTACCTTCCTCGCGAGTCCTTTGTCGTCGTACGTCTTCGCCAGATCGTCCCATGCTTCTTTCGGAGTACTGGTGTTTTCTACGTAGGTGTAGACTTCCGGTTCAATGGCGAGTATTATGCGTCCTTTTGTATTTTCTTCGGATCCGTGCTTATGGTACCGCTTTCTGGTGCTTGAATGGTGTTCCATAGGTCTTCGACTTCGAGGAGTGCACGCATTGAGACAACCCACGTTCTATAGTTTTCGCGGCCCACAAGCTTTTCCAACGTATGAAAGTATTCATTTTGGTTCTTGGTGGCCATCTCACTTATCGGCTCTCTCGTTGCTATTTGGTTCCAATTTTGCCAGTCACTGTGTCGCCTTGTTCTCTGGTATTCGGCAGCGGAAAATTTATGCAGTTTTCCGATGATCGTCCTGGGCCCATAACCTGATGGTTTTGGATCTTGGGAAGCGGAGACGAACAACGAACAAATACACCTTTGTTCGATATAAGATAGCACTAATTTATTTCGATATAAGAGAGAGAGAGTTGCAACCCGTGTGCTCGGCGGTCCACGAAGGAATGGGGAGAGCGATGAGCCTTCGAAGTCGCTATCACTTCCCTATCACTACGTTATTCACAATTATAACTAGAACAGGTACTGCTCTAACCATCGATATGTAAATAGGCGCCTAATTCAAAACAGTTAATGGTGAGATTGACTTTATACAAAACTAAATAACAACAGAAACATTGGTAATAGAAAATTTTGTTACAGGTCTTGCATTTTTTTCATCTGTCACTTCAAGTTATTTAACATCTGAATTAACTATATTACTTTGTTAGGTATAGAAAGGGTTTCATAATAAGAAATACTACAAAAGCTGATATTTTTTGTAAAACTTATGATATACGTGGAATCTTATTGCATGAATATCATAAGCTTTACCAGTATGAAAGCGAATAGTAAAAAAAATCGTTAATAAGAGAATTGCACGCTACATTCTTTACCATATTTTAGGATTACAATCATTTTCACACCACTTTCGCAATATCTAACAGAAAACTGACAAAATAATCCGACCCAAAATATTCGATGTTATTTTGAAAAATGCAACAAATTTCAGGTCAAATTACTCTTTTAATTTTGGGCTAATAAATGTGGAGATGCTGTAAAAATGATTGTTAACCTTGCAGAATATGCGCCGCATTTCACTTTGGGAATGAACTTCTGTTAAAATCTTGTTATTTACGATTTTCGTTTACATTTTACTCGTATGGCAATGAGAGATCGCAGTCATTTTAACCAATTCTATTACATTTTGTACATTACAATTATATTGTTTACATTTCAAATATATCAAATACATTGGAAACATTTTACAGGAGGTCATTAAACGTTATAAACAAGTAGTTAAAGTTGAGTCGAGTTGCTGTTTATCTTTCTATTCAGATATTTTTGAAATTATTAACCTGTAGAGAGCCGGAAAGCCGATATATCGGCTCGACCCATGATGGAAAATTTGCACACAGTAAATACATGATATAAGACACAAATTTGGGTCATTTTTAAAAGATATTCTCAAACCCCGGCCCTCTAAAGGTTAAAGATATGATCAGTACGTAGATACACTGTCGTCGAAAAATATCGGGACAAGGCCTACAATTGCACTGAAATCTTTTTCGCCAGTCTTTCTCGCGCAGCATTCGATTAAATCATGTTCTTGATTTGTCTATAGATAACCGTATATTCCGAAATATTGCAAAAAAAAAACTGAAAATATCGCAGTCTAGTATCGAAGATACTATCACTCCCTTCTGGAAAACAGACTCTGATAAAGACAAAGCATGCAATGGAAGGCCTCGAGTCATTTCCAAAGCAGAGGATCGATCACTAGTAATAATATGCAAAATGAATAAGAAACTTACTGCATTGGAAATCCAAACGAGATTCAGTGAAACTCATGAAAAATAGATATCACTAACTACTGTCAACGATCGTTTGCACATAGCCGGCGTTTGAGACAGAGTTTCTACTAAGAAACCCATTTTACTGCGCAGTAATAGGAAGAGAAGACTTCATGGGCTTACATTGTGGATCATTCAAGATGAAAAACGGATTTTATAGAATGACATTTTACAAGTTTTCAATGGCAGAGTAAATGCCAGACAAACATTGTAAGAGTATCTTCTGTGAGTCAGTCATGATTTTATTAAAGGACTTTCAGAAAGAGTCGCATTTAAAAAATAAAGAAATAAACCATTTCGTGTGAATTGCAACTTTATATATTTTTCACTGGATAGAAAAGAATATGAATATTGCGCATATATATGTGTTTATCTGTATATACAGGGTTAGTCAGTAGAAACGCACCAGCAAAAGTTGGCCGCAAGTGGCCGACACGGCAGTGTGGCCTCTCTTCTGACAGTTCGCATAGCAATAAGGTTATTGAAACATTTCAATAGCTAGGTTACTGAAGTAATTAATTAATATTGTAATGACAAAATGTAATGTCAGTTAAGATTTATTTTCACAACAGATTGCAATTAAAATAATGTAAAGTTTAAAATATTCACAATTTTGATATTTCCAAGTAATGATCACAAGTGCAATTCTGCAATACAATGCTGCAATTAATTTAAAAATCAATTAATTGAAATGTTTTATAGCAAAAAAGTGCAGGAAAAAATCTGTTGTGAAAATAAATCTTAACTGACATTACATTTTGTCATTACAATATTAAATAATTATTTCAGTAACCTAACTATTGAAATATTTCAATAACCTTATTGCTATGCGAACTGTCAGTTTGCGTTTACGGGAATCGGTCACAGTCATGTCATTTTTTGAAGAGGCCACACTGCCGTGTCGGCCACTTGCGGCAAACTTCTGCTGGTGCGTTTCTACTGACTAACCCTGTATATGTATATTCTGAGAAAAAGCAGATATAGAAAATAAAGGTATATTTTGTTCCTTTCGATTTAGCTCACCGATTTACCTTAACCGGTAGACAATTAATTCATAATAATATTTATTAGGTTCTATTTTATACATTACCAAACATAAAATCTAAAAAATATCTATAAGAACTTACCTCAAGAAGATCGGCAACGGCATCAGGTAAGTTGAACTCCCGGACAACACGAAGACGTACTTGGCGATTAATTTCGTGACGAGAGGAAAGCGGCAAACTAACGGCACGTTGACTACTTGGTGACTGTCTTAGCTTTTGTTCCCGTTTTAGCATGGCCGACATTGTCGCTGAATCTGGTACTAACAAGTAAATGCAATTATTTAACGACTGATTGCACAGTTAATTAAGGTATTACTACGGTAAACTCAAAACCGCGTAATCGAGATGAAATTTGTTTTACGTCTAATTTATATAGCAATACATCTCTACAAATTTTTAACACGATTCACTCATTCATTTCCGAGTATTTCCGAGTTAAAGTCAGGACTCGTAACACGTATTCCCTATACCTGGCCAATAAAACGCGCATGGTTTTTTTTTATTGCATTTGACTCGTCCGCGTAATTCCGATGAAAAATTAGTATATGGCAAAGGAAAAAATTAGGAATTTTTTAGATTTTTAGTCAGAACTTTTTACTCATGGGATTTATTGATAGACATGAAAGAAGTTCGATATTTATTACGAAATCTCTCGTACGACGGCTGACAAAATAACGTTACGGCAACATTGCGTTTGAGACTGTATTTGGTGTATATACGTATACACTACTACATCCAATGTACATTAGTGTGCGCCTATCGATGCAGGGATGGGCATGTGTGAGTGAACTGTACCAGTTCAAATTTTGTTATTTTTCGATCCGTAATAATACCTTAATGGATTTTAATGCTAGTGTTTCCCTTAATCAAACTTGTGATAAATAATCATAAGAGTTCTTTGTAAATTTATTTTCGACTTGATAGACATACTGAAGATAAAATAATCAGAAGCACATAGGATAATAAATGACAGTCAAAGGTTCAGAATCCACAGGATCAGTGTTGCTGCTATAATATATATTATGGAATAGTTGAATATGAAATGTGGTCACTAATACCTGGAAGTGCAGCTGCCAGTACGTCCACACCAGCAGCACCCAAAGCTCTTGGTTTATCCTCAACCATATACAGTGTATCAGGAATGTCAGGAATATATCTTGCCCTTCGTAATCTTACCAGTTCTGCCTCCTGGACCAGTTGCTCCTCGACCAGTGCCTAAAGAGAGAATAAATAAAACAAAGGAAATTAGATTTTGGTTTCATATAAATAATTTGCTATACGTACCTTAATCTCTTCATAATAAGGCATGAAGAGTCGAGGTCTAACGAATAATCCATTTTTTTTACCGCCTCTTATCCAGGCGTTCACTCTTAAATTTTCCCTTTCATCTCCAATCATATGACTCGGTGGAGTAGATACTAATCCTCTCCTAATCGCCTATTTAAATCATTTTTAAAAAACAATTATTTGTATCACAGGTGTTTTAAACTAGTTAAGAAGTTTGACTTTTTTGAACACACCTGAGCCAAAATTTCACTGTTAGGCGGCAGAACATGATCCATCCTAACCAAAGGTAAAAGTTCACTGAGTATCTCTCGCAACTCCACATCACTTAGGTCCCGTTTTTTGACACCCTTCCTCGTGACAGAGTGAGCAGTATGACTGAGTAAGTTTGGTTCACGATCCTCCATTCTTCGTACTAGTTCCTGTTCGCCCCATTTAAGGACAGCTTGAAGCACCTCTAATTCACTGGCTTGTAAGAAGTGACTCTGGAGTACATTGGCTAGGTGAGCACGGTCCAATTGATGAAGAACTGGTGAAGACGCCACAGGCTGGAACTCTTCCCGCAAGTAGTGTAGAGCCTGCCTGTGCACCCATGCAGAACCATGCGGCTGGTTACCCCACCTATTAAAATAATAGTGGTGATTAAAATAAACGAACTTTGGTAGAGACAATACAATATTTTCATCAATGATAATATAAATGTTGGACTCTCTTGATACCTCAACACTGTAGGCAGCGAATCCAAAGTGAGCCATTCCAATATGAGATCTTCGCAGCCTTGAGAAAGAATATCCAATTCCAGAAACCTACCAATCTGATAAAGTTCCATAGCTTCTTCCAGGGGACTAGGCCGCATCCGACCGGTATGAGTAAGAGCCTGTACCTATCAAGAAATATTGGTGAATCAGGATTTGATATGAGAACAATAATAATTTTCAATCAAGATGACATTACCTCTCCGAGACTTCCAGCACTGTTCCCACAACCACTGCCTCTAAGAATAAGGGACAAGTCGACGGTGTCTAAATAGACAGCATGTAGAAGTACCCTTGCATATCTCTTAGGTATAACACATTCATCCAGTACTATTCTAGTCGGTATATGCAGCGCACGTTCTGTATGATCTTCGCCAGATCTAGTCCGTCGTTGTATTAAATTTCTAAAGAACGGTGACCTGGCGGAGAGAATCGCCTTGTGGCAAGGTAGCTCGAGTTTAGGTCTGAATCCGTACTCTGAACTTCCACTGTCTGGTCTTTGGTAATCACTATCGGAAGTAAAGACCAAAGCAGCATCCGCATAATCACCGGTATCTAACAAGTATCTGAGATCATGCTCCAGAGGATTAGGTGTACCAAACTCTTCACCTAATCTTCGCAGTAAATTCGTATCCAAACTCGCATCATGTGGACATATGTCACCAGTGTAGAGATAGCGAAGTAACGCCGAGAACATCTGGACGTCTAATCCAGGTGTACGTAACTCCAGGCATATACGAGCACCGTAACCTAAAATAATTTAAAAGTCTGATTGTATCATATTATACAGCTTCGTTAGACAATTTTTAAATTCTTACCAGGACATCCTGCTAGCAGATCCCTAAAGTATGGACATCTGGAAGAAAGTAGAGCTCTATGCACAGGAAAGCAAGCACCTCTGTAGACCAGGTCTACGTCGGTACAGTGCTTGTAATCATAAAGTGTTGATAAGTCTTGTTTGAAAGTTGCTGCTGGTGGCCGAGCAAGCTCTGCTTGTACGTGGAGATCCTTTAAGGCGGCCAGAGCTTCATACTCCTCGAGAAGAGCGCCAGCTTCCAGAGGACTCCAGGTAGATACCAGCTCTCTGATAATTCTACCATGATCACAGGCTTTCGAGGAGCGGCGCCTTTTTATAAACTTCTTACGCAGTGTGGCGAACCCGGTTACTTTCTTTTTCCTCTCTCTATAACAATAGAACATTCCGATTTATAGAAATAGATATTTTAGCTGATTACGACAGTAAGACATTGTTCCGAAATACTTATATGTTCATTGGATAACTACTAATCCCTTATTTCATTTTTAGTAATAACTCTTACAAAGTGACTGTTGAAATTTTAATTAAATGGATCATGAACAATGCAAAGGTGTACAGTTTATTTTTATAAATAAATAACCTTATCAGTGTGCTAAACTTACTTCGCCAGTTGGAAACTTTATATTCCCCAGTCCTAAAATAATTGTTATGATATTGCCATGGCTCTGATTTTCAAATGTCCATCGCAGCAATGTTTGAATTGCGCTCGAAGTTTTAATGGAAAAAAAAACGATAACTTTCAATTAGTCTTTTAAAAAATGATTTACGATACTGTAAGTAACGACTCTCCTAGAGAACTTCCAAAATCGAGACTACCAACTCTTTACAAATACATACAAGAGTATGAAAATGCATTTACTGAAACCCTCAAAGAAGTTGTGGCTATTCAATCCATATCGCAGCAATCAGATTGTTTCTCCAATATCGTAAAAATGGTATAAACTATACACGTAAATATATCTACTTATTTCACATACATATTTTCTTGACATTGTAGTTAAATTTATGTGAGAAGAAACTGAAAGACCTCGGTGCAATCGTAGAAATAGTCGAAAACAACGACATTGTTAACAGGAAGAAGCTACCACCAGTCCTTTTTGGAAATTTATTCACTGACGCCGATCTCAAAACCGTCTGTGTTTACGGATACGTAGGTCAGGACATCCAACATTACAACAGTATATATCAAATATAATACAAATATCATAATAAAAATTCAAACATGTAGATACACTACCAGCTAAGAAATCCGATGGCTGGGAAACAGAACCGTTTAATTTAATCGAGAAAAATGGAAGACTATATGGCCGTGGTGCATCAGATAATAAAGGACCCCTTCTGTGTTGGCTACATGCCCTGGAAATCTATAAAACAACTAAAAATGATATCCCCGTTAACATTAAATTTGTCATAGAAGGTTCTGCAAAATTAAGGAGTCACGGTTTAGACAACATTTTGGTTACCAAGAGAGAGTTCTTCGAAGATGTGGATTTCATGTGCCTGACTGTTGATAAAACGTCTCAGGAAGTACCTTGCCTAAAATATGGTTTCAGGGGAGTATCTCACTTCAGTCTGGAAGTAATCTGTGCAGAGAGGAGTATCCATAGTGGTATTTATGGTGGTGCCTTCAATCAACCTCTTATCGATGCTGTAAATATTCTTAGTTCCTTGGTAGACAAAAATGGCAAAATAGCTGTATCTGAGGTGAGTTTGCTTGATAAAATGATAAGAACGTAATTTATCAGAGCATACAACACACTTTTTAGATACTTAGGGACGTGCAAGATATATCGCACAGAGAAGAGAGTATTATTAGAGACATTCCCTTCGATGTTGCTAAGATCAAACAGAAGCTTGGTACTACACACTTGAGACACAAAGAAAAACCAATAAGAGTGATTATGCACAAAACAAAATTGCCCAGCGTCAGTTTTCATGGATTCAAAATGGAATTTGAGTCAGTCAATAAAAGAAGTCATGCTGTTGTACCTAACAAGTGCCTGAAAATTATTTATGATTTTTCTTTATCTTTTTATACAAGAAAATTTTCAGCTCTATTAACCAATCTTATTGTACTGATCACTTTTAGAGTAGTTGGGAAATTTTCTGTTCGCTTGGTTACAAATCAAACTGCCATAGAAACTTTTGGACATCTTGATAATTACATTAGAAAAATTTGGCAGCAGTGCAAAAGTACAAATCAATACAAGTTTCAAATGGATTTTGGTATAAATCCTTGGCAAGAAGATCCTTGTGATTCTCATTATTGTGCTGCTGCGAAGGCAATTGAATTGGTTAGATCAGTGATCAACAATGATTTATAACTAACTTCTCAAAATTAACTATTGGATAGGAATACATAAAACATAAACAATTTTCCTATTCAGGTTTATGGTGTAAAACCTATGTATCTTTGTGAAGGATCAACTATGCCTTGTATAGCCATGTTTAAATCTATATCTCCAAATAGCAATTTAATAGTACTCCCAATCGGGTATGTTATTTATTAAGAAAAAATATTTTAACAGACTTCAATCGATGTAAGAAACATTTTTTTCCAGAGAGTATGACAGTGTTCCCGATTCGTGCAAGGAATCAATTTCTAAAATTAGCTACCTAAATGGCATAAAACTTGTCATGGCATATTTATGTTACATAAATGAAATAAAATAACTTACTGTAATTCACATATTATGTGTTATAATTAATTGACATATAGGTTAATATTTGGAATTTACCTGACAATCACACCAAGCTGGTCGGTGTTACCAGAGGATGAGAGTCTGGCTGCCTGTATGGGATCTCCACCCATAGAGGCAATGCTAGAAGAGGCAGATGCTCCCATTCTATGGGTCATGCGTGTATCATCCCCGCGTCTTCCGCCTGTCGACCAACAACCACCACCACCTCCGCCACCGCTTTCGCCACCACGTTGCAATGCACACGGAATCAGAGCCCGGAATACGTTCATCGCTCACCCAGACACCAGCCTGAAATTTATTTACGCTATATGAAACATCCAATCTATACTACAACTTAGGTTAAATTTGACCAGCACATTTAAATATATGAAAACACCTTGTTCTAGTTATTCCTTAAAATATTTATCTCAAAAAACTAGTATCTATTAATCTAACAATCAAATCAAATTGCTAAGCATAAACATGAAAGCTAAATAGACAATTCTATAAAAAAAACTCTGACATAGTTTTATAGAATGATTGCGTGACAAATAGTGATAACGTCTTATCAGCAATTATATGAAAAGTAAGCTTTTGAAATTTCTTGCTATACGAGCAGTTCATGAAGTTTTTTTACAGAGGCTAATGAATAGTTAATAATAGAAGTTCTGAAAGTAAAACATGTTAGACATAGAACATACAAAGCATAAACACAAACTTAAAACAGACTACATAATAATGATTGCTGACTGAAAAATAATACAATAAATATAACAAAAAATCTAGTACATAACAATCTCATAAGACAATAACTACTAGGAAACAGACTAAAATGACATCTATATAACATTGTTTTGAAAAATATTAAATTTCACAAACACCCATAACGAAGGTTGCAATAATTCAAGTTCTTCCAGAATTTCGTTGACCCTTATATCCCAACAGGGTTTTGCAGGTCAATCACTAGTCAGCTGAACCACCTAGCAACCCAGCTGTTCGCAATTTTCCCAAAACTCATATTTAGCACAATGCCATAAGAAGAATCCATGTGTCGTTCCATTATTCCAGACAAACGTTAATCTGTGTGCGTAAACTCCTCGACCCAAATAAAAAAGTCATTCCAAAAAGCCGCAATTTGTATCTCGCAAGAGATACACAGGATTCGACTAAACGGAACTCACGTTACTAGCCAGTCGCCAACCGAATACCAAATTTTGCGTCTCATGATGATTTAACGAGATGATAATTAGTCTCATTACCTGGGTCCTTTATGCACATATTTTCAATCGGTTATTGTGTCCTCAGCATAACATCTTCGAGTTTGATCGCACGCAAACACCCGTCAGACAACACAGTAGCGGCCATGTTTACATTCGGATGCACCCTGGATACAAGTTGGAAGCGCAACTTTCAAATACATTCTAGACGATTAATCGTCAATTGAATATATTTACTTCTCAGTTGGAATATTTCATAGTTTCTCTAATAAAAATTCAGTAAGACTTTGACTATGTTTCAGTTTCAGTTCTAACGGCGGATTATACTAGTGCCTTTTGACTTGTGCGTAAATACGTAATATTATATAATTTCCTTTTGCTAAAAACGTTTTGTTCTGTTACAGCAGAGTTGCGATATGTTTTTTCGTTTATACTTATATATTCATTGTTTCTTAAGCTTCTCCAATAAGGTATTCTTACAGAATGCTTAATCTACAATTTACATAATTCAAAACATCTCTCATGGCATTTAAAAATATATATGTTTCCACCGTGTAGGGTTGAAATATAGTTAACCAATCAAGTTAGCTTATTCCCCTCAAATCTCGCGTTTAATTGGTTAACTCTATTTGAACCCTACACGGTAGAAACATAGGCTTAGTTTCCACCGTGCAGGGTTTGAATAGAGTTAAGCAGCCTCATTGGTTAATTCCATTCAACTCCTATACCTGATTGGTTAACTCTATTTAAACTCTGTACGGTGGAAACTAAGCCATATGTACTTTTAATTCGTTTTATTTACTTATTTCATTATGATGTATTTTAATGACAGCCTTTTAACAATTCTATTTTATTCTACATTATTTCATATTGTATTGTGATTCCTGTTAATGAAACTGTAAAGGTGATTATTACCGTACTTTTTGTCACAAATCATTGTAATATTTACAAATTAACAAAAGTGGAACATTTTAATATATTTCTTAAATAAATGTATACTATAATGTTATTATATGTAATACTAATCGACATTAATATGGGTAAAGTCATACATATTTGCTTTCAATTTTTAATTTAAAAACCGGAAATGAAATTCTGTTTGTACCTTCATAAAACGCAAAATGAACAATCGTCAGAATTTATTACTTATAATGTAATCGTGATATACTCTTTTAGTATAAAAAAATCAATATTTTAAGTGCCTATTTTGAGAACTTTTGAACGAGTTTCAGAATATAAACTTGTAACTGATACTCTTCCTGTGACCCTTTAACCAACTTCAGATTAAGTACTATATCTGGCACTATCGCCATTGCACTGCATTGCACTAGTTGTCTTTTAACAAGAAGCAAGCGTTTCCTAAATATCTTTTTAAAATGCTTGCTCTACAAAAATCGTGGCGACTGATGCCCCGTGTGGCTGGACAACAAAGGACTTTGGTTTCCGGACCTCCTAGAGTCAGAGTATCCTTCCCGGTAAGGAATACATTTTTTTCTGTGATTTTAATTTAACCATGACCTTATATAATCTGTTGTAACATTGAACAGTGATATCCTACATTTATTCACTAGAAATCATACATAGTAATTTAATTATAAATTAGAATTCTAAGAATAGATGACATGTTTTTCTTAGCTTTTAACTTGTTTCGTTATATTCTAATTTAAATTTTTTTTTTAGGAAAAATTGGCTCATGGAGCAACAATGGCAGCTGGAATATTATTCACTCCACTTTGGGTCCTTTCTCACATTAAGACTTATCGTCATTAATAGTGAAGTGACTATGGACCTTCAATAGTTTGATACTGTAATATTTTTACAGTTATTTATTCTATACTGTATTTATATACTATTGAATCTCTGTGTTGTAATGCATAAAAAAGTTGCAACAAGGATGCAGTGAAATATTGCATTAGCATGTTGTAAGTCATTTATCATCATAAACATCCTTTAAAATAAGTTTCTTGCTCTATGATCAAAGCTTATTTCGCTTTCACATTATTAACATTATTAACTTAAATTTATTCAAACTTAAAATTGTGGCTTACCATTAATGCTGATGCCTTAATCCTTACAGTTACTACATTTGGTTTGCTGTATGTCCCATTTATTCTAACTATTCATGATTGAGTTGTACTATCCATAGCAATATCGCAAAATGAATATATAGTACTATTTGCAACCAACCCTTGATTATATAAATTTCATTAGAATTTAAAAAATTTAAATTAGGGAAGCGGCCTTTGTAATGTGTTATTGTCTGAAAGATTAACAAAATAAACAATGGACTTTTAACTATGCCAAAATACAACATGGTAAGTTTCTTTACTATTAATAAATTAATTTAACAATTAAAATAACCACATATTCTAGACTTTATGTATAAGATGACCACAAATTAAAGTTTAAAAATTATTAAAAAACATTTTAAATTACAACGAAGGCATGGATAATGTTATCACATCATAGTCATCTTGAAAAGCAACAGTCCATTGCATATCAACCTTAATTAAACTTGATCCCTTCTATACTACTTGACTAACAGTTAATTAAACATTATTTGTGCACCACAGTTTTATACAACAGCAGAGAACTTTTGTCGCGCATACATCATAAAACCTGTCTGAAGTCTTCAACACATTTGTCCTAATCTACTTTCTGAATATTGATAGATATAATATCAAGATAGATAAGCAAAAGACAAAACACAGGTAAAACCTCAGTATTATATCATTTTTGATATTGCTTGTATTATCTGTACACAGACTATAACTAAACTTCTTAAAAATATCACTAATTCTGAGTAATGTTCACCAACTCCAAATGAAAAATCCACAAATGAATTGACGATTAGGATATAGATACTAAGTTTCATCAACAACGAGACGGGATCTCGTCATAAATACGAACGTGAGAACAAACTGAAACTCCTGTTATCATGTATTGGTTCTCCCACCACCTAAGAAACGTAGCAACCTGGAACCCCACCCTGTGGTAGACATTTTGCATTGAATCTTCAGAGTCGCTTGAACTATTTATAAGCGTCAGGATGTTCGCTACAGGAATAGCTACCTTGGCCAGGACGACGAGAATTGCCATAAGTACGCCTTCTCTTACGACCCACGTCGTTTCCAGGAATATTGTATCCGGTCCACCTCGTGTTCGTGTTTCCTTCGCCGTAAGTCACTAATTATGTATCAAGCTTGCTTGTCCTGTATCTGTGCTTAACCAAATTATGTAAGGTATGTAAGGCGGTATAGAGAACCAATCAACAGGTGTGTTGATTTACAGAGAATTTTCGAAAACTCTCGAGTATGACTTTTTTTGTAATGGACAATTTATTTTTCTTGCGCTTTTCCGCTTTTTCTTTATCTTTCTTGTTCTATGCCTCATGTCTTCTGACCGGTTTATTGCTTCAATCTGAGATTCAGTATGCATATTCACAACATTGATATAGTGTTTGACTTGGAATCGATATTGCACTGTGTCTTTAGTCTTTAAACAGTACTTAATCGATATTACCAATAGTGTCTTAGAAGAAATCAAAAACTAAACTGAGCTCTTCCGCGCATATAAATAATTAAAATAATTGTTTGCTAAGACTACGTACAATCGTGTGCATTGATACGTACAGCAATTATATTTTTTTCTATTTGTTCAATTGAATATATGTATATAAAGACTAATATCTATATTTCAACTTAAAATTACATAGCAATAGCAATGGGTGATCATTTTTTTCGTTAGTCTGATAGGGTAAATAACATCCTAACCAACATTATTTTTTACCTACTGAGTATAATATTCGGCAAACGTTTTTGGGTATGTGTGTAAAAAAATATATATACTTTATAGGTACGTCAACAAAATTTCCCGAAAATTATTTTTGATCTTTACTTTCGTCTTTAACATCGACTCTAATTGTAAGCCAGAGTATCGCCCACATCGTTAAGAACATAGTAGGGGAGAGTGGAACAAGGTCAACAAGGTACACCTAAAATTAGCTCCTGATGGGATAGGATGGACTATATGTAAAATTAGTAAAAGTTTTTTAAAATTAAAAAAAAATATTGATCTATTTGTTACGAATTGCATACACTTGAAAATATTTCTTAACTGTATTTTGTAACCTTGGAGACTGAACGATGAAATTTAAAAAAAAAACAAGAAAGTTGAGTTCCCAACTTTATTAAATAATGATTTTTAATTTTAAATTTAGAACATGTAGCAAACTGTTAAGATTTTCTTTTTTTGTTAGATTTTCTCAGATTTTCTTACACAAAAAGAACGTCAAAAATGCAGAAGTCCGTTAGATCGTTGATAATGTTTACAATATTTAATAAACCAAAAATTTATTAGCCGCATCTTGAAGAGTTAGGTTTAAGATCGAAATTGTTTTTTTGTTTTGAAATTATGATTCGGTGAAAAAATGTATTTATTTACGCAAGTCAAAAGTTATGAATTTACCATTTCTTATGATTCAAACACGGTCACATCAAAGGTCTACTGTGTATACAGGGTTATTCACGACAAACGCACCACGTAATGATGGTTTTACCATAAAAATCGAATAGATGGGCTAACTTTAGGTGGTGCATTTGACATGAATAACTCTACATATGTTGTGTTAGATGAAAATTATTAAATATATTGTAAAGTGTAAAAATCTAACTTTCTAACAGTCTAAACGGACTTACCTATCTAGATTGCTCAAAAATAATTTTCGAAAAGTTTTGTTCACGTACCTATAAAGTATATGCTTTCTAGGTATTATAACGAATTTTTAATTATAAAATATTAACAGAAGGAAGGGATATATGACCATCCACTCCAAGCCTGTCTAAAGAAAAAAGAAGTTCTGCAGTAACAGACATATTTCCACAGGAATTAATTGAAATTAAACAACCCCAAAAAATCTTTAAATACATTAATGAAATTAGTCTTTGTATTCTTTTACAAATCAAACCATACTTTTCAATTTCGTTTTTAACGAAGTGGCTGCCGTTTAAACTTAAATCTTTCGCTACGACATGCGTAATATGAAAGCACTTGCGATGTACGAAACGAAACAGTAACTGCTAGATATTGGCTTACAGTGTATATATGTATACACTGTTAGTGAATCCTCCTCTCCTTCGAAGGGTGTCATTTATATACGACTTTCGTTGATGATCGTCCACTTTTATATGGCGTGTTGACTATGCGCGTTCGTACACAGATCCAATACCTAAGCATATATAGTTGTGCACGTGCATTCTATCAGGGCCACCAATTTTTATGAACAGCGGTTTAAGCTGGACTTTTCATTTGTGTTTCACTGAAATATATACCCAGACACACACATGTCCAAAAGTCATCTTTAAGATGTCTTAAAGACAACTTCTGTATAATTAAACGTCTTAAAGACGACTTTTGGACATTATGTGTGACTGGGTGGGTATGAGATCTGTGTGCGTATGGCTGCTGTAGCGAATCCTTCGTAGCAAAAAGATTAACATAAGGATGTTTCACCACAAAATCGTGTTAATAATCAATAAAAAAGAGTTTATGTATTACAAAACCCATAATATTATCAATACTAGATCATTCTCTGTAGAATAATTATGAAAAATTTCAAGCAAATCAATTGAACCTTTTTCGACATATTTCTGATACCTACTTTAAAAATAGGATTTTGAGAAAGACACGATTAAAATTTTATACTATCAAATTAAAATATATATCGAAACATTTTATTCAACCGCTATATCTTCCTTATATTCACAAGTTTCAAGTTGGAACATGGGGAGAATATTCTTCAAACATCAAACTATTAGAATGTGTAAAAAAAATATTTGTTCAACTCTCCTAGTTAGGTAGACTCATTTCGTAATTTAAAACTATATTTCTTGGTTTTTCAGGAGAAACTTGTTCATGGGGCAGTAATGTCCGTTGCAGTGCTAATCGTCCCATTCTACGTTCTGGCGAATATCAAGAATTACAAAGGAGCATCCAGCTAATGAGGATATTTTGTTTTGCCTAGTAATTAACTAAGGGTAATACTTTAGAGCTGAACGTACAAAGTATAATCATATGAAATAAACGGAAGAGTAATAAAGATATTGTCTTTTATTTTGTAGATAAAATTTCATATCTTATTCTTAGACGTTATGTTCTTTATTATTGACGCAAGGTCGATAACATCAACAACGTTGATGGCAATATGTCCACGTAGAAGTCTCTTTCCAGATAACATATATTCTCCAAAAGTCGGCGTCTAGTGGCACAGAACTTGTCTTTTTGGACATGTATGTTGTCTGGGTTAGTTCTACACATGCCAATTCTGTGTCCCTCTATTTAAACAAGTTTTTTTAAACTGAATGTTTTACTTTTTAATTTTGTTTATAGAAATATTTTGCAGCATGTCTCCTACATACAATGTTCAACAAATTATATTTTTATAAATTAGTATTTTACAGACACGAATTCTTTTACACTGTAATATAATTTTTCTACAGGCAAAAGTTTTTATTTTACACAATCAATAAATATAGAGTTCTTCGGAAAGCATTTATCGTATACATTGGATATTTGTGAGAACTTGGCCCTTGTTATAAAATCTGATTAAGGAGGTCCTGACGCTGCATACTAGTCAATTGAAATCCCTACGACTAAAGTAAATGCCCAATTAGTGGCAGGTTTACGATGTTTTCTGTTATATCTGTTATTTCCTATATTATAAATGATATTTACAATATCTATTATCAGCTGGCACAGTGAGAAAGTGATGAAAAATTCACATAAAGGAAATATTGTTAGTCGCGTACCAGCCTCCACAGCGTCCAGACGAATACTGTCACCTTTAAGCAGTCATATTTTAGTTAATAGAAGATTAATCGCTTAAAAAATGAACAATAATAATTATAGAAGCCTTACATATAATATGGAGGTTTAAAAAAATATGCTCAAATTATGATTTT